AGAAGAATAAAGGAATTGATGAGTATTTCAAGGTTTGCAAAAGTCACCAGCTTCTTATAGAAGTTTATTTGGAAGAAACGAACACCCAGAGAGACAAGGTAAATATATATGTACAAAAAGAAAATCTTTCAGGTGGGGCGCAGAATGATGAAAACCTTGAGAAGTTTTAAAGGTAGAAAATGTTTAATGTTCGCGAAAAATGAAAAGGTTAAATATAGGCTTACAACAAAAACTTCGCACTTTTGAAGGCTACTAATCTTACTTCTATCTGTTGCGTCTATAAGGAGAAAATTGTTAAAAACAGCTCATGTTGAAAAATGTAGCCTCCAAAGCGTCTTTCTATATTCAGAAAGTTGCAACATTCAACTCGGATCATAAAATAATTAATTTTAATTCCAAATAAATCATTCAAATAGTAAAACCAGTAGTCATCCATAAATTTTTGACACATTCGTAGTTAGTTAATATATTACATAACATTTTTAATTATCAGATTATAAAAAATAGAAAAGTTCATGTTCTACTGTAATCAGATATTCTACGTGTTGAACGATTCCCTTTTGAATGGAACCAACCAGTAGAACGTCTTGTCCCCGGCATTAAATCTCAGGAGTTAGAGGCCATTTGGAATCTGACTGCAACCAGAAGGAGCACTCGTACAAATAGAAGTTGAACTGTCCTCATTCCTGCTCTGGTGTCTACTCTCTGTCCCTGCCGCCTGGTCCTGGATCTCCCTTCATCTCTAGGCGGATTATCCTGCCCAAGCTCTCTCCTTTCTTGACCTGAACATAGATATCAGTATTATTTATAATATACATTGCAGATGAACAAAGCTCCCCTGCCTGGGCTGAAGCGCCACTGTGTTTTTTGCTTTTGCAATTTTCAATACTTGTCCCACAAGAACATTTAATCCCCCCCTGTTTCTTTCTATATTCTCCCTTCATCTTCTGTGTCACTCAAACTACTCTCTTTACCTTTATCCTCACTCACCTACTACATTTTCTACCTGGTATTTTCCTACTATACTAGTCCTACTTTTGATACTCCCTGTTTGCAGTTATTCAAGAAATGCTGATCTTGTCCTTGTGGAGGCTAAACTCTCTCTTGATGTATTGCTTCTTCTGGGTAATCCTGGGCTGCAGCAGAGTTGGGTTCATTCTCTATTACAGTATCTAGCAGGGCTTGGTCTAGGTCTTCCGTTTCCATATTTTATTTATATGGAAATGTTGGTTGAACTCTTGTTCAGGTGTGCTGGCCTATGATGGTTTTGATCCTGGGGATTGATTGAAAGGACTGGAAAGGTTCATTTTCTAAACTTTCATCAGCCTCTTTGCTGATTATTCCTGTTGAGCTCTGGCTTGTACTTGATGAGGTTGTACTATCATCCTGGTCCTGCTCCTGTGGTTGACAAACTCGTCAATGTGAAACTCATCAACCACATCTTCAATGGTTTTACAAGGGAGATCTATTTCTGATAGTTCCTCTGCAAGTTCCTCCATTACTGTATGGGGAGTCTTGGTAATTTGAAGAGTGGGTTTACATCCTGCTGGCCAAATTGTTTGGCCAGACGGAGCTAGGATCTATGAGCGGAATAGGTCTGAGGTTTCTGTACGTCAATCTCCTTATTTCTGAGCATGGCTGGGCTCAGAACTTCAAAAACAATCAATGGTCCTGACCATCTTATATGCAGCTTCCTGCTGTTTCCTGGAAGCGGAAACACTGCAGTGTATGCCTAATCCCCAGGTTTTATCTCTTCTGATGGTTTAATATAA